GGCTAATAGCCACTGATGGACCTCTGCTCCATATGCTTATCTAATTCCCTTTTGAAGCCGTCCATGCTTGTAGCCGCCACCACTTCCTGTGGCAGTGAATTCCAAGTGTTAATCACTCTTTGGGTGAAGAAGTACTTCCTTTTATCCGTTCTAACCCGACCGCTCAGCAATTTCATGGAGTGCCCACGGGTTCTTGTATTGTGAGAAAGGGAGAAAAGTACCTCTTTCTCTACCTGCTCTTTCCCATGCATAATCTTATAAACCTCAATCATGTCACCCCTCAGTCGTCGTTTCTCCAAGCTAAAGAGCCCCAAGCGCTTTAACCTTCCCTCATAGGGAAAGTGTTCCAACCCTTTTATCATTCTAGTTGCCCTTTTCTGCACTTTTCCCAAAGCTATAATATCCTTTTTAAGGTGTGGTGACCAGAACTGCACACAGTATTCCAAATGAGGTCGCACCATTGATTTATATAGGGGCATTATGATATTGGCTGATCTGTTTTCAATACCCTTCCTGATAATCCCCAGCATAGCATTGGCCTTCTTTATTGCAGTCACACACTGTCTCAGTCATCTCTCACGGTGACAAAGAATCGATGAGAGCTGTGTAGAAAGTGGAAAGAAGTGCTGCTGCTTCCCACTCATACTTTTCTCAAACCCACTTTGGGTAGGGTTGCCAACTCCAGGTGAGGAAATTCCTGGAGCCTCGGAAGGGTGAAATTTGGGGAGATAAGGGATCTCAAAACGGTATAATAACGTGGAGTGCATCCTCCAAAGAGACCATTTTTGCCAGGGAAATGATCTCTGTCAGCTGTAGAGCCATTGAAACTCCAAGAGATCTCTGGGCCCTACCTGGAGATTGACAGCCTCATCATTGGGAAAGCCTGCTCCCACCCAAAATATTATGGAACAAAATATATTTATTCTCCAGAACTGGAGAAAGAAATACACAGCTGAAAAGCAGCATGTTTTTTTTTTAAAGAAACAGACATGCATGTAGAAATGCTCTGGTTAAGTGCGGATCCTGTCTGGTAGCCGCCAATCTTTTTCTTTTAAAACAAAGCTCCCTGTTGACATCACAGGTACAGTCCAATAGGTGCAGAATCTAAAAAGAAGTTCAAGAGGCATGGATGCAGTAGCTGGGGAAGAACAGCATGTTCGTAGCAACAAAATGGCAGTGCAAAGCACCATCAAGTCACAGCTGACTTATGGCAACCCGGCAAGAGATTAACAGAGGTGGTGTGCAACCCTGGACTTCCTTGGCAGTCTCCCATCCAGGGGTCATTTTCTGCAGGAGCGCACAGGAGCGGAGCTCCGGCAGTAAATAGCCCAGGGGGTGGGCACGTGCAACAAGCCCCACCCCCTGCTCCCAGCAGTCCTCAGTCAGAGCGAGAAGCAGCCAGGTAAGTTGCAGAGCCCCCCACCGGTCCCCCGGCCCAAAACAGTCCAGTGGCACCTTTAAGACCAAGTTTTATTCAGGTACAAGCTCTCCCTCCTCTGCGAGGACAGATCTGCACATTCCCCCCCCCCAATAGCTAGCCATCCAAAACAGTCCAGTGGAGCCTGAGCGGTGGGTGTTGCCTTCTGACACACTTCCAGTGATTTCAGAGGGTGTGGCCTATGTAAATGAGTTATGCTAACGAGTTATGCTAATGAGCTCCTGCACCTCTTTTTCTACCAAATGACCCCTGCTCCCGTCAAAGCAGTAACCACGGCCAACCCCGCTTAGCTTCTAAGATCTGATGAGGCTGGGCCAGCTTGGGCCATCCAGGGCAGGGCAAGGCCAATGAACCCCTGAGAAAATACAATTTGCTTGCAACAGAAGTGCCAAACAGAATAAAAGTATTTACCTATTTACAGCAGCTGACCGGGCATTCTTTACTGGATAAAAGAGCCTACATTGCATGCAAAAAAATTTCCTTGCATTTCATAAAACAGACATGAATCATTTCCTTCTTGAATCAGAGGTGTCTGACCTATCCAACTTTTTATTTCGTCGGCTTTTTTCTCAAGCACATTCTACACTTGTGGGTTTATGTTCTGTCTCATGAGGTTCACAACAGCTATGCACTTACGTTCTGGTTTGCAGAAGTGGATATACTGTGGTTTGGCTGCTTATGTTAAACACTTTTTTTTTGCTCTTTCATGGGCTACCATCGTTATGTTCTTTCTTAATTTTGGGAGGGAGGGAGGGAGGGAGGGACAGGGAGAGCTACTTCCCTCCTAGGCATTCTCCCCTTTCCCTGTTTTCACACTTTGCACCATGTTTGTC